TCATGATCAGACAGAAATCAGTGGATCTGAAGCACATAACCAAAAAAGGCATGCTAGCATATTTGCTTATTTTTATAGTCTAAGATGCTTTATCTGGGTGATTTAGGATTAGAATGTTGGCTTTGGACCAAGGAACCTGAATTCTTATTCATCAAAGAAAATATGTGTTAGTATTGATGATGATGATGATGATGATGATGATGATTAGCAGTGGAGCAACAGTGATTTTTACATGTTCATATTATTGCCTTTTTCACACTTTCACACTTCTTTTATTACATGTCACATGACGTATTGCAACATTTTTCTTTAATTCTGTTAACTATTATACAAATGTTAAAATATTATATGCAAGACTCTCGCTTTGAGACCATGTGAAGACTAATTATCAATACCTATGGGCCTAAGAACATTGAAGAAATGGTAATTTTATTGGTTCGGTTCATTTGAAAGTTCATTAAGCGGACCTTGGAAAAGATGGAAATAAATGAGAGATGTTGGAATCAGATAGGAGACAGAATGAATGTCACTATCGTTGACTACCAATTTTCTCTATTTGGGCTCATTCTTGATGCAGTAAGTATGCATGCGTGCGCTGCGCACGTGCTGTGCGTGTGCACATGGTGGACACCCAGCCCCGTTGCAACGGGATCCAGAACCCACCACTGGTGCTACACGTGCATGAGCAGTAGTAAAAAAATTGTTTCTGGACATGTGCAGAAGCAAGAAACAAGATGGAACAGGTGTTGGGGTGTGGCCAGCAGAGTTACTACCTACTCGGCTGAACCGGTTCAAACCGGCAGGAACCCACCTCTGGTTAGAATGCTGTGGAATAATAATAATAGAAATTTCTACAGGAAAATGTTAATTCTTAAAAGTGGTACATATTGAATAATGACGCTCAAGTACTGGAATTGATTTCAGGCCCTTCAGTCTAGATAAAGAGATGGTTAATTTCTTTTTGCTGGCTGAGTCAATCTCTCTGTGACCAGATTTTCTTAAATCTACCTATGTTCCAGAGGATTATCAGCAAAAAGGACTAATAAAGTGTCAACTTTTTAAGGCCTTATATACAGCACACAGGATAACCGGCCGATGCACCTGAGGACAAAGTTGCAATGGTATTTATCTTAAGCTATTCAGAAATGCAGTCAGGCTGTTAGGACTAACTAAGCCTTGCTTAGACAGCAGCAGCAGGTGAATCTAAGGGCTTTTTTTCAGATCTTGCTTTCTCTGAAATCATGCAGGATTCCAAGGTATTCCAGAGAGGTCTGTAGAGATTCTCAGACATCCAGGTCATGGTTGTCTCAAAGAAGAAGCTTCTTGGATGAGAAGCGAAATATCTTCAAAGAAAAAACAAGGAAGTCCAGTTGCCTCCTGAAAAAGCACCTTTGGAACTTTCCAGAGAGGGTACGAACCATTCAAGCAAGGGTGCATTGCATTTCTCAGGATTTCATTAAATTCCCCCCTCCCCAAATTAAAATAGCATGGAAAAGAAAAGTTAGGAGGATGTCCTTTTTGTGAATCTGTGAACACAATTATTTACTGGCATGCTAACTAGGCATGTCAACTTATTTTTCTGGTAGGATTTTATTTTTTTGGGGGGGGGGAATGTTAACAATGCATGACAGGTAGAATTATTAGCAAACAGAAGCGCCTTTACTAAAAGTGCTACCTTCTCTTTAACAGAATTCTCTTTGCAGCACAGAAAGCCCTGCCAGAAGAAGTAGACGACCCAAGAAATTTTGCGATACAATCTGGATGTATTTGTACAACCAATCCTCAAAGGACATTGTTCCCTGAAGTGGCCATGCCATGACCTTGAGGCTGATTTTAAGAAAAATAAACAACCATCACTAACTGAAAGTTCCCTCTGCTTGTTGCAATACTTCCCACAACCATAGAAAACATTTAAACATTCTTATGCCATTTCTCCAAGTGATGAATAGAAACAGAGATGCTTAGGTTACTACAGGTTAGGTCTTCATTTATTTCACCGAGATATTTGCTTAAGTGGGGGGAGGTTACTTTTTCACTGTGTGTTTATTCAAAATATCTTGTTTAGTGGTGGGCTGCACATTTTTTAACAACTGGTTCTCTGCTCTAATGACTGGCTGGGTGGGCATGGCTGGGTGGGGTGTCATGTGACTGTCTGGGCATGGCCAACTTTATGTGACTTGTGTGTGTGGTACCTGTATGGGACAGGCAGGGTTGGGGAGGGAATCCAGGGGTGGGGGATGGGTGGGAGGAAAGAAAGATCCAATCTGGTTGTGTGTATGAGTGAGTGAGTGAGTGAGTGTGAGTGTGTGTGTGTGTGTGTGAGTCTGAGTCAGGCTCACCCGGCTTTTCTTCCTCTCACAGCCAGCTTTTTGGGGCCATTTTCAGGCTGTTTTTCTGGCTGATTTTGGCCAATAAAACTGCCTGAAAACAACACAAAAATGGCCTGACTTTTGGGCATTTTCAGACCAATTTTCCAGCCAAAATTGGCCCGAAAACCAGCTTGAAAATAGCCCGAAAAATGGACAAAACCAGGCAAAAAACAACCCAAAAATCTGCCTGAGGTGGGACCATCCAGTGGTCCAATTTGCCAGTTCACGCAGAATCGGAACATCTGGTTCAGGCAAACCAAACCAAACTGGCAGCAGCCCACCTCTGCTCTTGTTACACCATAGCAAAAACTTTTGGGTCCCCTTAATCAGGACCTGCAGTACTTTCCTGATCTTTCCAACCTTTCTTCAGGTGCAGTTAGTCCATTATGAAGTCTTATACCGTCTCTCAAAAGCTCTAATGAGTTTCACAAGCAGAAGATGTTAAGGCACCAGCTTGTCTCTGCACTTGTGCGCTGGAGTATTTTAAGTCCTGAGCTACAGTGGGGACAAAATGTTTTGAATTGATGAACTGAACTTTAAAGCTAGATACTTTTCTTTGTCTCTTCATCAGAACAAATATATATATATATATATATATATTCCCTCCATTTCCAACCAGATCAGACCTATCTCAGGACTTAATAAAAAGCTGTAATTGTGAGATGCAGGCCTGCCAATTCAAATGACTCGGGTGATAGATAGTATTGCAGCAGAGTAAATTATTGTGGATGTC